CGAATGATAATTTTTTAAAATAATTGGTAAGATATAACAGATAAAATAATAAAACCTAAAACATTAAAAAGTAAATTTGAAGCTATAAAACTAAAAGAAATAATTTAAAAGTACTTTTAATATCTGAACCTAATTTACCCTTAAGTGGAGCTTCTTTAGACGTAAATGTAGGTTCATTTAGTAATCCAGACTAATTATAAGGGCTTGCACATCTTTTAGAACATATGATATTTATGGGAAGTCAAAAATATCAAGACGAAAACTTATTTTTTGATTTAGTATCAATAAATGGTAATTTTTTATTTTAATATATAAAATTAATATAAATGTTAATATAAAAAAAGGAGGATAATCTAATGCATATACAGACAGTGGAAACACAAATTATCATTTTGAAAGCACAAATAATAATTTTGAGTAACTCTTAGATGTATGGAGTAGATTTTTCATTGACCCTCTTTTAAAAGAAGAATAACTAGAACGAGAAATATAAGCAGTAGATTCTGAATATGTTAATACTTTAACCAATGAATTTAATAGAATATACGGCTTATTAAATTATATTAGTGATAAATAACATCCTTTTAATACTTTTAGTTATGGAAATATCGATTCTTTAATGAAGATTCCTAAAAATACATACTTTGCCCTTAGAGAGTTTCTTTAGAAATATTATTTTTCTGAAAATATGACTTTGGTAGTAAAAGTAGATTCTATTTATTTAAATTCAACTAAAAATAAAATTGAAAATCTTTTTTCACAAATACCTTCTTTTTTAGAAAAAAGCAGAAAATTCTAATCTTCTTTTAAATTCAATATCGTATACTGAATAAATGCCCGTTTAAAAAGGCTCATATTTACAATTAAAGGAAAATTCTAAAACTAATAAACTTCATTTATTTTTCTTCCTACCTTTCAACGAAGAAAATGAATATAAGACATTAAGGTTTATCAAACTTTTATTCAATTATGGATTTTAGGAAACAAACTTTTGCTTATATTTAACAGAAAATAGTTTATCTAGCAAATGTGAAGTAGATATAGAAGAAGAGATTACTTCTTTAACTAAATTTTTGATATTTTCAATAGAAATAGAGCTATTAAATGAAACAAAAAAAGACATATAAGAAATAATAAGAATTTATTTTTATTATATGCAAGCAATATAAAAAATAACTGAGAAAAAGGAAAAATATAATAAAATTAAAGAAATACTCGAAAAAAATTTCTTTTTATAAGATTTATAAACATAATAAGTAATGGATGAAGTTAGTGAATATTCTGAAATGATAAACTAAAATATAAACGTAAAAGAAATTTTAAGTTATAGAAATTTATTGAAAAAATTCAATATTTTCCACTTCGAAAAACCAATAGAAATTTTAAATAATCCTGAAAAAATAATTATTATTCACAACACTAATAACGAAAGTTTTTTTAAAAATATGATTTCATTAAAAAGCGAGTTTTATGATTTGACTTTTACTTAAAAATTTTTAAAAGAAAAAGAACTTTCAGATTTTCTAAACTTCCAAAAAAAAGTCGAATTAGTACCTTAGAAAAATTTCCCTGTTTTAAAAGATACTATTTTGGAAGATATTGACAATTCATTTTAAGATTTTAAAACTCCTTAAGTTATTTTGAGCAACGAAAACGGAAAATTATTTATTTAAGTAAGTAAAATGGAATTTTAATAGCCTAAATAAGTGATTTATTTATAATTTGCTCACGAGTTAGCTAAAAAAGATATTTTTAATAAAATATCAAATGAAATTTTTGTCAATGAATTTAAAATGATTTTAAATAAGAATTTTTTTAAATACGAATTGAGTGGACTAAAATATGTAATAAATTCAAATAATGAAGGATTTTATATATGTATTGAAATTTACGATTCTTTATAAGAAGAAATAATAAATGAAATATAAAAAAGCTTAAACTAAGTGTAAATAAAGGAAGATGATTTTGAAAAAAATAAGAAAAAAATATAAAATTAAATAAAAGAATTTGAATATTTAATGATATATTAGTAATTTCGTGAAGTTTTACATAAAGTTTTGATAAAAGATTATTTTGAGAAAAAAGAAATTTCGTAAAATATAGAAAATTTAGATATCGCCAAATTCAATTTTTTTTAACAAAATTTCAAAAACTCCTTTTATTTGACTTTTTTTGTTTTAGGAAATGCCTAAGAAAATTTAACTAAAAACTCTTTCTTTTAACTAACTTCTAATTTAAAAAATAATAAATAATCTTAAAAAATTATTATTTCGAAAATACTCTCTTTTCCCCATTAAAAAATTGTTTTTAAAAAGCTATACTCTTCTAGAGATAATAAAAATAACTTAGGAGCCACAGTATTTTATTTTGGCAAAATGAATACGAAATAAAGAGCTATATTAAAATTAATATAAAAACCTTTATATAGTTTTGCATTTGAAAAATTGAGAACATAATTATAATTAGGATATTTAGTTTTTTGTTAGTTGATTAATTTTTAAGATATTTTTATTTATATTGTACTTGTTTAAGGATATAAAAAAACACCTGATGTTTATAAGGAAGAAATAGCTATTATGGTAAATGATTTTGGTAAAAAATATCTCAAATAAATGGATGATGAAACTTTTTTAGAGTTAAAAGAAAGTACTAAATAAAGTTTGTCATAAAATTTTTCGAATTTACAAGAGAAAGCATAATTTTATTGGCAATATATATAAAATTAGAGTTTTGATTTTTAAGAAAATAATAATATTATTTAAGAACTTGATGGCATTTCTAAAAACGATGTTATTGAATTCTTTTAAGTGTCTTTTTTTGATAATTTTATTAATTTCTAATTATATAATCCTAATGTTACACCAAACATTTAAAATAATCAAAATAATCAAGGTGAAACTGTTGTTTTTAATACCTAAAATTTATAATAGTAAGGCTAATGGATTAATCTAGAAGATTAATTTCGTAAATTTTATCAAGAAATAACAGTTTGATTTTTTATTATATAAATTAAATATTATTTATTGAAAATAATTAGATATTAAATAAATATTAAATATTTATATATTATTTTAATTATTTTTTTATTATAAATTATTAAAAATATATAAACATATAATTTTTTATTTTATACAAGCTTTAGTTATTTAAAAAAAACTACAAAAATATTCATTATTTTTTCTTAACATTCATATAAAAATATTTCTTAAATTTAATTCTATTTAAATCTATTAATAAATATTTAACACTACTTAATTAATTTAGTTGTTATTAACAAATAAAAGTTTATTAAATAATTAAAATAAGAAAATCCAATGATTAACAAATTCATTATTACTTTTGTATTTTATTATTTTTTAAATTTTTAAAAGTATTATTTTTTTGGCAAAATTAAAAGCAATTAAATTGCATAATTTTATAAAATAAATATTATTTCTACACTTATATATGTTATTATTTATATTTTTTTATTTTAAAATAATCTTTTTTTTTTTTACATAATTTATTATACTTTTTAAGTTATAAATATATCCTATTATTTATTTAACTCATAAAATAAGAAGAATTTTTAAATTAAATTGATACGTCTTTTCTTTTCTTTTGATTTTTATTCTAAAAATGGTAATTAAAATAAATTTTTGATATAATTTTTTCTCATTTCTATTTCGTTTTCTTAAAATTCTTCCAAATTTATATTCTTCATTGTTTAATTAGAATAGCTTTCTAATAATTAAACGATTTTTTCAATTACTTCATCATCTAAAAGAAAATTTTCATCATTCATTTGAGCAATAATAAATTTAACACAAGCCTATTCTATTTCACATTTTTATCTTAAATAATTAAATAATAATCATCATTTTATAATTAATCTAAAATTATTTTTATATAAAATAATAAAAAATTAATGTAAAGAATATTAGCAAAAAAATCATTAATTTAAATGCGACTAAATATCATATTCTATCATTTATTTACATATTTAATAAATTGATCTTAAAAATAAGCATTTAATTTAATATTTATTATCTTTTTAATATTTTAATAAAATAAATACCTCGAATTCTTTAATTATAATATGAAAAATATTCTTATCATTTAAATTATAATGTAAAACAACAACATAACTGTCTAATTTTTCACAAATTAAATAACAGCTTTAAAAAATTAAATACATGGGTTCATTATCACTATAAGATTCATTACTTATTTACAAAAAAAATTAAATAAAGTGAATATATATATTATTTAATCCAGAAAATGCTATGAAAAGAATTTGTTTTCTATCTTATCTTCTCCAATAATATAAATCATAATCTAATAAACGTTTTTTAAAAAATCGAATATTTTTTAAAGCCTGAACAAATTTATTTTAAACGAAATCTTTAATTAAAATAAAAAACTCAAAATCAATTATATAATTAACAAAGCTTGTTTCTTTAAATTTCTAAAAAAAATAAAAAATTAAATTAATCTCTATTTAATATTTAGGATTAATAATGATATTTAATTTATTATATAAAGGCTATAAAATAACATTATAAGAATATTTAACAAACTTTTAAATACATGATTTAATATAGATATGAAATATTAATTTAAAAAATAATTTAGGAAAATAAAATTATAAGAAATGTTAAATATAAGCAAAAATATATGAAAAAAAACATATTAATAGAACTTTTTTAAATATTTTTGTATTATTAATTAATTATAATAAAAAAAAAAATGCTTATTTTCAAAATAATTATAGGAAACTTTTTTATAAATAAATAAATAATATAATTTTATAATTACTATTAAAAATTAAATAAAAAAAATTATTAAAATTATATTTATATAATTTACAAAATGTTTAAAAAATAAAAAACTAAATTCTAATTAAAAAAAATAAAAAAAAAGAAACTTTTTATATATTGATAAAAAAAATTAATATAATTAATTAATAAATAAATAAATAAATAATAAATAATAAATTATATATTTATATTTATATTTATTTATTTTTTGCATATGTTTCTTTAATATTGATAATTATAATATATATTTATTTTATTTCTATGTTATGCATATGTACAATTTAATTTTTAAATATATATACTAAAGATTATAGGCTTATATTAAATGAATTTCAATAATCCTATAAATAATATTACAAATCTAAATTTATATATTTTTAATTTTTATTTTCTATCAAATTTTTTTTTTAATTATTTAAATATTTATTTTATTTTTAATAACATGATTTTAATGATAATTTACAATAAATTTGTAGAAAATTCATTATAATAATTTATTTTTTTATAATTATTTAATTTTTAAGTAATTTATACAACTCAGAAATTTATAAAATCTTTTAATATATATGACCTATGTTTAGTTTATTTCAATTATTTGGTTTATATTAAAAAAATTTAATGTAAATTATAAATATTAGATTATATTAGCGTCTTTAGAAAATTAATAATTTTGATTTTTTAATCTCTTATATTAAGAAGAGAAATATAATTTTTTTTTTTATAATAATCTTTTCATTTTTTATTGAAAATCTTTCTTTTAAGAATTAAAGAATAATTTAGTTTTTTTATTTTTATATAAAATATAAAAATATAATTATAGATTGATTATAAAATTATATTCATAATTTAATTATTTAAGAAATAATTATAATAGAATATAAAAATAAATAAATTATTTAATTATAGATTTAAATGAAATTAATTTATGTTATATTTATATATGAAAGTCAAGAAAAAATAATGAAAATTTATGTAATAATTTTTATTCAAAAAAAAAATAATAATAATAAATTATATTTTTTTTATTTTTTAATATTATATAAACAAAAAAATTAATAACTATTTAAATTTAATTTATATTAAATTTTAAATTATTAAATATATAATAATTTATGTATAAAAAATATCAATTTAATATATCCTGATAAAATTTACGAAATTAATCTTCTAGATTAATCCATTTCCCTTACTATTATAAATTTTAGATATTAAAAACAACAGTTTCACCTTGATTATTTTAATTATTTTAAATGTTTGGTGTAACATTAGGATTATATAATTAGAAATTAAGGAAATTATCAAAAAAAGACACTTAGAAGAATTCAATAACATCGTTTTTAGAAATGCCATCAAGTTATTAAATAATATTATTATTTTCTTAAAAATCAAAACTCTTATTTTATATATATTGCCAATAAAATTATGCTTTCTCTTTTAAATTCTAAAAATTTAATGACAAACTTTCTTTAGTATTCTCTTTTAACTGTAAAAAAGTTTCGTCATCCATTTATTTGAGATATTTTTCACCGAAATCATTTACCATAATAGCTATTTCTTTCTTATATACATTAGGCGTATTTTTATATCCTTATACAAGTACATATTAAATAAAAATATCTTAAAAATTAATCAACTAACACAAAACTATATATCCTAATTTTAATTAAGTATTCAATTTTTCATATGCAAAATCATGCAAAGGTTATTATATTAATTTCAATATAGCTCTTTATTTCATATTTATTTTTCCAAAATAAAATACTGTGATTCCCAAATTATTTATATTATCTCTAGAAGAGTATAGATTTTTAAAAACAATTTTTTATTAGGGAAAAGAGAGTATTTTTGCAATAATAGTTTTTTAAGATTAAGCATTATTTTTTAAATTAGAAGTTAGTTAAAAGAAAGAGTTTTTAGTTAAATTTTCATGGAG